CCTAGCTTCCTGAATATATAGGACTCAGAAGACCTGAGTTCAAATTCTGCCTTAAACAGTTGCTCGTTGAGTGACCTGGGTGAGTCACTTTACTGCTGTCTGTCTTAATTTTCTCATCTGTAAAAGGGGGATAATAATAGCACTTATCCTCCAGGGTTGTTGTGAGGATCAAATGAGATAATGCTTGTAAAGTGCTTTGCAAATCTTAAAGCACTTCACAAGTGCTAGTACTATTATTATTTAGTAAGCCACCCTTTGTAGTAGTTGGTGCAAGTATTCTTATTCTCATCTTATTGATATATAGACTTGCCCAGAATCTCTCTCTCTATAAATATATAGACTTGTCCAGTGTCATCCAGATACAAGTGCCTGGGATGGGATTTGAATTGAGCTCCCCTATTTTCAAGTCCAGGGCTCTTTCCACTATGCCCATTGCTTCTGATTTTGTAGATGAAGAAATTAAGAAGGCAGCTAAGGGGGCGAGTGCACAGAATGTTGGATTGGGAATCAGGATGATCTGAATTAGAATCTTGTGGCAGGCATATACTGGCTGTATGCCCTGGGACAAACCATTTACCTCTCTCAGCCTCAGTTTCCTCATCTATAAAATGGGGACAATAATAGCACCTACCTCCCGGGGCTGTTGGGCAGATAGAAGGAGATAACTTAGGTAAAGTGCTTCGCAAACTTTAAGGTGATACATATATGCTATTATTAATAAAGTCTCACAGTTAGCAAGTAAGAGTTCAGGTTTTCCAATTCCAGATTCATTACTGTTTCTGATACCATCAAGTGCTTTGAAATTCTCTGACAGTTCATACAATGTACGCATACAGTAGGATTCTAGCGGCTACTGAGGCATCTGTTTTAGGAGCTCCCAGTACAGGTGACAGCCAGTGGAAGAGTTAACTAGACTTCTGTCCACCTGTCTTCCCCAGGGTCTGAGGATGCCATAGACACCATCTACCAGCATAAACCTCAGGAGGAATTGAAGACGTCTATGAGATCATATATTCCAGCTGCTGCTGACAGTATGGACAAACAGCTTTTAATTTTCTCAATAGGTTTTCTTTTGGGGAGAAGCTTAGTTAGTAGAGTTCAACAATCAAAGAGTTTCCATCTTTATTTATTTGTGTGTATATACCTCCTTTATTTCTTCTTCCTTTTGCCATCTGTCTATTTAAACATATTCTTTTTATTTCTCTGCAGTCGTCACTTGCTTTTATCAGTTTTTTTTTTAATCTCAAACACTCAGCACTTAGCACAATGCCTGGCACATAGTAGGTACTTAATAAATGTTGATTGATTGATGGTAGTTAGGAGATTGCAGCATCTACTGTGTTGATTTTCTTGCTGAAATTTTTGAGATTAATTTTAACCAACTCTTCCACATTTTATTATAAATAAAGCAAAAAGTAAATATGGTCTCTCTCTCTCTCTCTCTCTCTCTCTCTCTCTCTCTCTCTGTCTCGACATAATTATGTATGTATATATACACATATGTATATATAATACCTATCTGTCTATCTATTGTTACTTCCCCCTGAACCAAATTGGTAGTTTTGCATAAGTTGGTGTTATGAGGTGTGGAGGAAACAAAAGAAGCTTAAACATTCAGACTCAGACCTTTTGATCCCTGCTAGGATCTATCTCACATCTCCAACATAATCCTTTCATCTGCCTCCCACATTTCCACTCTCCTAGTCTAACTCTGACCCTTACAGATTGTTGTTGTTTGCCCTTCATTCTCAAAGAGGACCATGACATCAGGAAGGAGATGTCATGACTTCCAAGTGAATTGGATTTAAGTGAGGGAGGGCTGGGCAAAGTCACTAGCCTCACTCTCTCCCCAAGGAGCCCTCTGGGTCCAGTGATCAGATATGGATCAGGATGAATACAGATAGCCCCAGATGCAGTGGGAGGCCTTGACCTTTTTAAGCTAAAGTCTTTTCCAGGTCTCACTTTGTCTGAGGCAATACCCATTCAGTGATAAAAAGCTGGGTAAAAATGAAGCAAAGAATTTTTACCTAACATAAAACAATCAGTCTGGGAGGGGAAGGCCCTCAGGGTTTCTGGCCAAAACAGAGACACTTGCTATTTGTACTTACTGGGAGCCATCAGAATCCAAACAATGATCAAGTGAGGCTTGGGCAGGCCCATTGTTGGCCACTCGATGAGAGCCATAGTGATTTGGATTTAAGGCATGATCCATAAAAATGAAATCTAGCCCATAAACCCCAAGATATCTTGCTAAGTTTCAGTGATCAAAATTTATATTCTTTTGGGCAGAGCACCTGCAGGTGAGGGTATGATTCCCTATGTGGAAGCTAATGAGATTGCCAGGCAAAGTAGTATCAAGAGAGAAAAAAAAGAGGACCTAAGATAGAGTTTTGGGGAACCCCATGGGTAGTGGGCACGACCTGGATGAAAATCTAACAAAGAAGACTGAGGAGTGGTCAGACAGGAGGAGAAGCAAGTGAGAGCAGTGTCACAATGATCTAGAGAGAAGAACAATGGCAAACACAGGGGCAGCTAGGTGGCACAGTGGATAGAGCCCTGAAGTCAGGAGGACCTGAGTTCAAATCTGGCCTCAGACCAAACACTTGACACTTACTAGCTGTGTGACCCTGGGCAAGTCACTTAACCCCAATTGCCTATAAAGAAATTAAAAAAAAACCCAACAACCCAGTGGCAAATGCTGCAGAGAGGTTAAGAAGAATGAGGAATGAAAAAAGGCCATTGGATTTGGCAATTAGATCACTGGTAACTTTGGAGAGAGTAGTTCTGGCTGAGTGATGAGGTCAGACCAATATGATAAGGGGTTAAGAAGAGAGTGAGAGGAGAGAAAGGGGAGGCACCTAACATGAAAAGGAGGAGAGATATAGGTTGGTAGCTAGCAGGGATGCATGGATCAAGTGAGGGTTTTTTGAGGTTGGGGGAGACACAGACATGTTTGTAGGCAGGAGGGAAGCAGCTAGTGAAAAGGGAGGGATTGAAGGTTAGCGAGAGAGTGGGAATCATAGATGTTGGAAGATGAGATAGGATGTACTTTTGCATCGAGAGGAGTTTGTCTTGGTAAGGAGAAGGGGCCCCTCTTCACATGAGACAGGGGTGAGAGAGGACAGTATGTAGATCTGAGATGAAGAAATGGGGAGAAGAGGCAACTCTTGGCAAATATTGTCATTTTTCAGTGAAATATGAATCAATGTTCTTAGTTGACAGGGCGAGGGAACAGGAGTCACAGGAGGTTTGAGGAAGGATGGAAGAAGGTGTTAAAGGTGAGTCAGTGCATGTGGTGCAATTAAGGAGGTATTACAGGGTTGCCTTGCCTCAGTGAGAGCCCATTTGAGATGATGTCAAATAAACTCGTAATGGACCGAGTGAGCACAGTTTCGTAATATTTTTCCAGCTTTGTTTAGCAACACATGAGTAGGAGCAAAGGTAGTACATGGTGGGAGTGATTCCAGACTAGTGCTTGGCAGGGAAAGATCTGTGGAAAAAGGAGGTGAGGGACTCGAGAGAAGGGGAAAGTGGAGAGTTAAACTGGTTGAAACAAGGAGTCAAATTGGGGAAGAGGGGAGTGTAGCCAGTGTAGGAGTGAAGACCTGGAAAACCCGAGGAGTGGAGGGATTAGTGGTCACAGTGAGGATGTGGAATGACAATAGATCATGGCCACACGAAAGACTGTGATCTAAGACGGTGGTATTGTAGGGTCTGGCTCAAGTTCCTGCCCAAAGTAAATCCTAGTGGGGGCAGGTCAGGCTCTGGCTGCATTTTCATTTCCTTTTCCATATACAGAGAAGTTCAGTTTTTGGCTAGCTAGTTCTGCTCTGCAGCGATCCCTGAATACTCCACCTGCCTACCCCAATTGTCCTTCTTTTCCTTCCCAGAGGAGGCAGCTAGGTGGCATAGTGGATAGAGCAGCACCAAGCCTACTGACTGTGTGACCCTAAGCAAGTCACTTAACCCTGTTTGCCTCAATTTCCTCATCTGTCAAATGAGCTGGAGAAGGAAATGGCAAACCACTCCAGTATCTTTGCCAAGAAAACCCTAAATGGAGTCAGAAGAGTCAAACATGACTGAAACAACTGAACTTCCCAGAGCTGGGCTTAATTAGTGCCTGCCTTCTGATGATGAGAGGTTGGTTCATGTGCTTTCATGATGTTCAGATAATATTAAAAAAAAAAAGAGGAGAAATCCACCATGACAATAGCCAAATAATGAGTGCATTTATTGAAAAGTAAAATTCCAAAAGTGCATTTGTAAAAGTTGATGCTGTAGCCACCAGGAAAAGAAACTCACATAAGACAGGCTGGCAAATGAATCACATGACTGATTTCCTGACATCCCCTTTCCCAAGGAGCTCTTTCCTGTATAGGGCTCTTAATTACTTGAATTTAGTACTATTTTCTGAGAAGTTACAACTGAATGATATCAGAAATACTGAGAGAGGATTACTGCTTAGCCAGAGGAAGCATTCACACCTAACAACTTGAAATTTCTTATTTTTATATTGCTCAGCTTCAAAAATAACATATGGAACTGCCTTCATCTTGAGTTTAATCTAACTGTAAACACATTTCCAGTCCATATGCTAGCCTCTTGCACCAGAGAGTCCTCAGATTTCGCCTGAATTGTTTGGGGGGTGGGAAAACCCAGCTGTCACACTGTGGTATAGGGGCTTACATCACAATGGTGCATTCAAACTGTTTTTTCATGTCTCTGACAGCACAGCACAGCAGGGCACTTCAATGCTGGATGGCACCCCAGAGATTACCTCAGCTAAGAGCTTCACTCATTTTATATTGAACTAGCTCACCCAAAGTGACTCTCCTGAAGGCATACAGGTGGTTAGTAGAGCTAGGGCTAAAAAGGCAGTTCTCCCAAATACTACCCATACCTTCCTCTACACTCTGCTCACCCTTCAGTTTTTTGGTTCTTTGAATTTTTGATTAATCCAAGAAAGATTGGGTTCAACAGAGGGTAGTGTTGTTTCTTACCTGTTTCTTGCCTCTCCCGAGAAATCAGAAATCCAGATTTTCTCTGCCTGACTTGGAAAATGATTCAGCTCCTGTGACCGAGTCAACTTAGATGACTTCTTTCAATGTTCTTAGAAAAGGCAATAAAACGAGATGAACAGGATATTCAACAAAGTGACCTGATCAGGCAGTTTTTATGGTTGTTATTCTAAGCTGGGAAGGTGTAGTATTTTGCCTTGGTGGGGGGGTCAGGATGAAACAAAAGCAGAGGAAATGTACCGGGCTCAGCTGCAGGACCAGGTGCTGTGACTAAATATGTTTGTTAGATAAAGGATGGACTCAGCCCTCCCAGCTCCTCCCCTGAGGGAGGGAGGCTGGACCAGAAACAGATGTACTTATAACTACGGGGCTGTAAAACAGAGGGGGGAAAGCAGGCACATTTTTTTTAATCAATGGCACACAATACTTGGCCAAGTCAATAAGTGTAGCTGTTAGAGGACACGGAGTTAGGCACTAGTATAAAGTGAATGTTAAGAAAACTAAGACCATATTAAGAAAATACAACAATTTTTCATTGTATCAAAGCTTAGCTTTTAGCCAAACCAGCCTGCAGAGTCAGACATACTTGCTTCCTAAAGCGTTCAGTGGGTTAACCCTATCCAGTCCAAGGTTTGCCAACCTGGGCTTTTGGTAAACTTTCTGGCATCCTCCTTCTGTATGAAAGGAAATGACTTGTAGAGTTCGTCATAAATGTGCATATTGATTGTATTTATAGAGCACTTTAAAGGTTGCAAAGAGCTTTACAAAATTGACTCATTTTATCCAAACAGTAATAATAATAACAGCTAATATTTGTATGGGGCAGTTAGGTGGCACAATGGTTAGAGTGCCAGCCTGGTATCAGGAGGTTGTTGTCATTGTTGTTGTTTTATGCTGGACTCTTTGTGACTCCTTTTGGTGGGTTTTTTTTTTTGCTTTTTTGGTGTTGTTTTGTTTTTTGGCAAAGATATTGGAACGGTTTGCCATACACAGTAACAGCAACATTGTGTGATGGTCAGCATTGGTAGACTTAGCTCTTCTCAGCAATACAACGGTGCAAGAAAATTCCAAATGGCTCATGATGGAAAATGTTATCTACATCCAGAGAAAGGACTATGCCATCTGAATGCAGATCGAAGCAGACTATTTTCACTTTTTTGGGTGGCTTTTCCTTTTTTTCTGTTTCTTCTTTTACAACATGGCTAATGTGGAAATATATTTAACATGATTGCACATGTCTAACCTATATTAGATTGCTTGCTATCTTGGGGAGGGGGAGAGAGAAAAATTTAGAACTCAAAATCTTATGAAAAATGAATGTTGGAAACTATCTTTATGTGTAATTGGAAAAAATAAAATACTATTTACATAAAAAGAAACACATTGATACTTTAAAATTTTAAATATTTATCTTTTCAAATGTTATTTTCTAAATAAGTTTGTAGCATTTATACTTCTGAAGTTATTAAAACTTAAAACTGCACTAAGACTTTTGGGTCACCCTGTAAATTAACCAAATGAAATACTCCGAAAGTAGTTGTGTTAGTAGGGGGGAAATGGTGGATTGAAGAGAGAAAAGTAAGGAGGTAGGGGGTAGGTGGTCCATTGCCAAGCACCTGAGAAATTTAAGAGACAGTTGAAAGGATGATTGCTACTGGCCAAAACCAAATGAATTTCATTGATTTTATTTGTTTTTGCTAGGCAATGAGGTTAAGTGACTTGCCCAGGATCACACAGCTAATAAGTGTTATGTGTCTGAGGCCGGATTTGAATTCAGGTCCTCCTGAATCCAGGGCCAGTACTCTATCCACTGCGCCATCTAGCTGCCCCAAGTTTTTTGGTTTTAGAAAAACGTGGATAGACTTGCACAAAATAATGAAAAGGGAACTGAGCAGAACTAAAAGAACATTGTATACAGTAACAGTAATATTGTTTAAAGAACAAATTTGCACAACTAAGTCATTTTGACTATTATAAATATCCTAATTAGCTACAAAGGACAAATGAAGGAAGATGCTATCTGCATCCAGAGTAAGAACTGATAAATAGAAGCGTATATATATATGTATATGTATATGCATATATATATATGTACACACACACATATATACATATATATGATTTTACATACACATATTTGTGTCTAATGGTAGCCATCTTTAGGGTGAAGGGGGAGAGAAAGAAGAAAAAGAAAATGGCATGATAAATTGGGTATATATTTAAAAGCAATAGCAAGCTATACATAATAGATTTGCAGTTTCATGTGCAATCATCTTTTTATTATTCTATGTTATAGAAATGCTTATTTTATTTCATAAATTAAAATAAAATAATTTTTAAATGAATGAGGTTTGAATATGAAACATTTTTTATATAAAGCTAGAAAAAAATCAATGACAATAGCCCATAAACATCATGCTAATTGAGCTCCACAATGATCCGAAACCCTGAATTAGTTTCCATCTAATGAAGTTACCACATTTTTGTTGAGTCATTGGAAAAACTGAGCTCATTCTTAATCAACATGCCCATACAACTTTTGGCTGTTTAACATAGGGGGATGTTTAGATTGGCCCTTCTGGTGGTTGCCCAGAGTATGTGTAAATATTCTCTTCCTACCTCCAGTTTATGGCAGCATAAAAGCTTTCAGGCCATGTGGAGATCCATTGATGATAGATGGTATAGCCTCTAAGTGATCCCTTCATTGTCCTCCCAACCAAAGAAAGCATGGGGTGGGGAGCAGGAGGAGGGGCAGCAGTCTATTTTGTGATGTGAAAATACCAAATGATATCATCAATAGGTCCCACGTGGCTGAAAATAGACTCAAAGCACCCACACGGTCACCTGGAGGTATGTAGAAGGCATTTTCAAATGCTCCATACAACCCATCAAGGACCAAAGCAAACATGTTCTGTCACCCTGTGAAATGAGCTAAGTGGTTATAAAAGGGATTACGGTTTTATAAGTATGTTTGGCAAGTGAGAATAGGATAGATTTCTCCAAGGGTACACTAAAAATACCAACTCTTCTGCTGTGGTGTATTGCTAAGCTTTTCAAATGACATTTTATACAGCAAAATTTAGGCTGCAACTGTTGTAAGACATTTCCAGGTTGGCATGGGGACATTACAAACCTAGGGTGGGGAGGGGAGTCGGGGTGGGGTGGCAGCCAGCATGAATTGTGAATAGCATATTCCTCTGTATTTGATTGACCTTTACAAAGATAGCCCTTGCAAGGGGTCAGTAATAATAGCTGATATTTATAAAGCACATTAAAGAGTCCCATATAACTAGTGCCCTCAAGCCCCAGGGCCCAGGGTGACAGTCGATTGGAGATCAGAAAGAAAGATTTAAGTACTCATGATTATTGCCTTGTTTCCCCTCTGCCTTCACTGGGAATGTCTGACATGGGATCTCTCCCTGGGGAGGCATTTGCTTGCCACAGTCATGAAACCACTTAAAGGCATGGGGAGAGATGGGGACCTAGGAACGCTGAAGCAGCAGGAGGCTGCTGGAGAAGAAGGAGCTGTGCTGGGAAGGATAGAATACTGCCTCCATCCAACATCCTTCTTTCTTTCTGAAGCAGAGGCTTAAATTTTAAATATTTGTCAGCCAAAGGTTTCTCTATGTCCCTTTAGACAGTGTGCCTTGGATGCAAGGTTCTTCAATCAGACAATCAATGGGCATTAAATACATATCTGCTAGTAGCCTCATACTGTTCAAATACAAGCGTGGGAAGGGATCCTTGCCCTCAGACATATTACATTCTTCTGACTCATGGTATTAAGGCTGTGGATCGGCACTTCTGGGAAAGCTCTCTTGACTCAAGGCTCTGCTTTGACAGCAGACACTTTAGAGGCACAGCTTCCATCCACGAGAACTGGATACAAGGAAGGTGTATAAAGATGAGTGGAGGTCAGAGCAATGGTTGTGTTTCCTGAGTCACCACAGCTCAAACTCTATTGATGTGGAGATCATGTCGGCCTCAGACTCTCACATCACCAGCTTTGAGTGACTTCCTGACAATTGTTTCCATGAGTCAAACATTTAAGAGGGTGCCTACTGTGGGCCAAGCACTCTGCCAAGAAAAGTAAAAGATGGTCTCTGTCTTCAAGGATGTCTAATGGATATTTTCTTCCTAAACCATCCTTCTGGCATCATCACTAATCCTGGGATTGTTTTTCCCCAGAATAACAATCCATTCCTTTTTATTGCAAGCACTGGGCAATATTTTCTGAAACTCCAGAATCAGCTATGGCTCATCTCCGTCCAGTATCCCTTGGCTTTTGGCCCTAGGAAAACACACCCTCAATTGTAGTTAGGGGAAAAATCTTTATTATGCCCCTGGAACTTATTATTTCCCTCCACCTGGCACCTGACATCTCTTCCTTAGTTGCTTTCCCTCTTGGACCAGTTGATGATATTCTGCACCTGGGAAACAGCAAATCCTGGCCTTAGTAAGTTCAGTATTGCCAATCCTTAAAAGACAGAGATAGCTTCCTAACCAGTCTTACAATCTCTGCTAACCCCTTTCTAAGTACACCTTCCTATAATCCCTAGCTTTGACTTGCTGGCATGGCCAGTCTGTACAATCAGGGCCATCACATTGGATGCATAGACAGTGGCAAGTCCATTACTGCAGCTCCTTAGAACACCTCAGTCTCTGACCCACGCATGCCCAGGCTTCTGCCTCTCCTGCTTCGATGGGTCACGTAGGAGTATGGAGCATCGTGAGGATCCAGACGGAATTCTCCAACACCAAATTCCGTAATGTTTTTAATATTACACCTGCCACATCTCCAGGCATAGGATGATCTGTTAAATGTTCCTTCAAGTACTCAGGCCCAAAAGAGATCCAAATGTGCTGCCTCCCAGCCCAGGAGGGCTCTCAGCTGGCAGAACATATAAGTTAACCACTAGTGCCTCACGTGTTGTACGTTGTCCTAGCATTCACAACGTGGGAAGGCAGAGAGAAAGCCGGTGTGATCTAAATACACTCAAACGTGATTCTGGTGGGAGAGCTCAGGTTCAATCACAGACTCAGTCCTTTCCACAGCAGTGACTTCTTGACATGGCTTAAATATTTGTCTTGCTCTGTGAACAATTCAGGGGCAAAAGGCAAGAGTGAAAACAATCCTTGAGGCAGTTTGGAAAACCTAGAACATACTTAGAGAGAGATTCCACTATTTGACAAGAATGACTATGAAAACTGGAAAACATTTTGGCAAAAAAATAGGTTTAGAATGGCATCTTATGCTATATGCCACAATATATTCTAA